TAGCCTAATCAATGACATAAAAATCAAACAATGAAAATATTTTATTAATCAGTCCACTTTGGTTGGACGGGAATATATAACGAAGGTAGATTTTCCCTTAGGAGAATTAATAATCGGCTTCACATACATGGATAGAGAGAGGATACGTTTCAAGGGGAAAAATTGATCCGTTCGCCTTTCATCTTCACGGTGATAAACTCGAGTCATTTGTGGAGCCTAGCTTTACACGTGCCTCATACGATCAACATTACTATCAGTGCAACAGTGAAGTTATGATTACGAAATAAGCTCTACGCGAACAGCCTCGATAGTCAAGATTGTCAAGACTGTTAAAGCAGTGACAGTAATCGAAAGAATTTCGCGTAGCTCTATTTAATATTACAAGATACTGTTACGTTTGATTAATAGTATGCCTAATCAATAACACAAATAACTACTACAACGACTACCAGTAAGCGCTTGTTGTGGAATGCGAAGAGATCAACTATCAGGAACTACTATTCCTCGTTCACTTTTCTATTCATCTTCACATTGTCTAAGACAGAAAACTAATGGAAGTTGCTCTCATTATTCTGACGAAGTGGGGAATGATCGTGTCTTTTATTATACGGGAAGACTACTTACAAGGGGCACCATCCAATTTTGTCCAAGTTTGTTCCCTTAAAATATGTTATTAAATATTCAAGTCTAAAAGATTTTATTCTCTCAAAGCTAAGATTTTCTTTTGACAACATTTGTAAACTTCAAATCACATCGAAAAACGAAAATTGAGAAGCCAAAGGGAAGGAATGATTAAATCATTCTTCCGTGTTGATTTCTAATTTTCATTCTCCCGTTTCACCAAAATTATTGAAATATTATTAGAAAAATATTATAGCACTTCTAACTATGAAGCCAGCTGTATATGATTCATTATATTTTATCACTAACAACAAATTCGCTTCGGTGAAATGAATACTCCCTCCTTGTTGTGTTTACCTTCGATTAGCAGCAGTCGAAAGTAAAAATAGATTATTTCAACAAGATAACACTTTATCATTGCTGATACGTCTTCGTGCAAGACGAAATCCAGTACGATACCTTGTAAGTGTACCATAAATTATCTAACAAAGTGATTTACATATGTATAGTAAAATAAAACAAAAACGTATTTTAGATAAACTATTATATAAAATAATCGTTTTATTAATGTTTCTTTTGAATAATTTTATTATATGTACAATAATTTAATTTATATTAATAAATTATACATGCAAGATATAAGTAAACTGATTTGTAATAAAAATGTTACAACTTTTTTCTAATAAAATTAATATATTTTGAAAAAAAAACAAATAAAATATTTTCGAGAAAAAGAAATACGTAACAGAACTTCTGTCATTTATATTTCACTTTACTTAATTTAAAATTAAATAACACTGTTCGAAAATATTTTCGATTCTACAAGCAATTTCAAAGATATTACAAGATTTTAATTTCAAAATTTTAAGAGACTACTTCAAATGTAATTGAACAAGGAAAGATTCTTTTGGAAGTATCTCTTAGATCTTATTATTTAATAACATAATTCACAGATAGAAGAATTGGCGCTGGACGCTTTAGATGGTGTCTCTTGTTAGTAATAATTGGCATTACCATCACTGCCGGGTCTAATATGCCGCTTATCGTGTTAAGTTATATTAGAACATCAATCAAAGTACAAGTTCGCTATCTCCTCGGGGAATTAGAAAACAAATTATTAATATGTAATATTGTTTCCTGCACGAATGTTTTGCTATCGCGTTTATGTCCCTCGTCCAGGGTGGAATCGACAAGTAGAATTGAGTTTTAAAATATTCAATTTTTTTTATAAACGATAATCAATGTATATGAGTACAATGAGTACAAAGCATTCAAATCTCTTTTCAAATTATGATTCTACATACTTTCTGCGTAACGAACCAGGGAAACAAATCTAAAAATCAATTATTCAATGAAAACTATTATTAGTTCTCAAAATGAATAGATTCATATATCGAGTGAACATGATCACGGTCCTAAGCGCGCGAGCTTTACTCAGTAAAGATGTTTACCTTCAATTAATATCTCCAGAATGCGCAATGAAAATAATTCGTTTAATTTTACATAGGAGAACGATCACCTTTCTGTACTTCTGTTAAGGCAATGTTATTATGTAAATGTTAAAAATGTATGTATCTGAAATGTCGTAACTATCCGAGCTCATGCGAAGATAAATGAATATGTTCAGTACAAGTTTTGCGTAAGTCAATGATAAATTTTTGACCGATTGTTCCATTATAAGCATATGTAATGTAATATATTTAGCTTAATAATATAATTTTATTTAAATATTGAGAAAAATCTGTCATGCGAATCCCCAAGAACAAATGTTGTGCGCATTGTTGTGTTCTAGTCTGTACTATATCAAATATGTGTCGTTGTCATCTTTATACGACCATCGCGACGATTACCTAATCATGGATTATCATGGAAAACTAATATAAATAAAAACAAAGCGGAGATATACCCAGAAAGAAACTGTATCACTCTTATACAGATGCACTTCAACTCGATAATATCGGCAAGAGAGAGGAAGAGAGAAAAGCTGACGTCATTCGGAAACGTCTCGATTTTAACGATAACGTACTGGAAATATAATAAGAAAGTTGGCTTAAAGAAAATTAGGAGTATAAATAATTTCGTAAGAGGTAGATTAATAATTTTCTGTATAATCGAAACCATACAAAATTAAATTAGCCTGTCATCAATAATTATAGCTTATTAATCTTAAATTAAATTATTTAATTAAAGATAACTTGTACATAATAAAATATGTTATTCGTTATCGAGATTCAAGAATAATGCGACATTCGTATAGTTTGCGATTATGACGAAATGATCTTTACGCTGACACATAATATGAATTTGTCGGCCAGTTGATTGTCGACCTTGCCGACAATTGTCCGTCATATCATCAACGCAAGGCTTTATCAGAGTTAACCGATCTCAAGCCTCCTCCCTTCTCCCATCTCTCTCCTACGTCGCACGAATCTCATCGAGCAAACAGATGTCCTTGGCTGGCTTGAAATGTTGCAAATTGCATTTACATAAAACAATTATCGGACGCGACGCGCGCTAAGGAGGTTATGAAGGATAAATAAAATGTGGATTTACATAAAACTGTAAATTTCAGTGTTTTGTAAACAAAAGCGTGTCGTAATCGTCGCCAATTGATGGAAAAATTTTTGTTAATTTCAATTCAATACTAAATAGACATAACAAAATTCTTATTTTATACATCGAGAGGCTACTCTTGAGTTAATTCTCATTTCATTTTTATCGTTATCGGTTGCAAGATATGTGCGTCACTTCGTAGCGATTAATTACAGTGTATCAGAATTCATGTTTTTACATCATAATCGCATATGATGATGCAATATATTATTTATGCACATGATATATATTATTTCGTACCCGAATAATTAGAAAAGGCTTAAGACAATGTTCTAGCTTCATCGTTTAATTTTTCTTTCAGATAATTCGATGTAATTATTAGTAGTTATTAATATATTGTCACTTCTAGAAATATGTCAATAAAGGCTCGCCCTTTAACACGGGATATTTCATTGCGAAACAAAAATATCCAAAGTATATTTTACAGAATGCACACCCGTCGATCACGGCGACGCTCTCCACGCTTCCACGCTTGTTGCGCGACGAATGTTTCTATGTACGTGTACAATGTTAACCCGATAGCCTATGAATTGCTGTGCGGCAAATCGCACCGTGTAGGAGTATAATGGGGTTCATCTCTTGTCTAGTCAGGGTTATAAATAAATAAATTTTGTCACTTAGTCATTTCACTCTTATCGCTGTGAATACGTAAGATATCCTATCTTTTTGTTCGTCAAGAACCCGAGCGAGCGAAATTGATGATGATATCCATACGTTAGAAAAAGACGACAATGAAACGTATGATGCGATTGTCCATATTAATGTATCGCTATTGATTGCTATTATTATTACTTGTCATTATTATTATCGATTACCGATTATTATAATTACGATTATTATTACTGATTATTAGTTACTATTACTACAGCTATATAATATACCTTTGTAAATGAGAATCAAGACATATTGAGGGCTAGGGAAAAGAGAAACTTAATAAATTGAAATTCTATTAACCCAAAGGTGTTCGATTGTTATTTACATCTGTAGATATATTTAATCCCCCAAAATACTTCAAGATAGATAAAGAAGTAGACGAAGGAAACAGGTAAGTTGCATGCTGGTATTGCATGAACTACGATTGAAATTACTTGAGAATAATTTGTTTAATCATAAACGTCTAACAAGGATCACTCACGAAATGCCATGTCGGATTTCGAGAAATGTTATAATACGAACATTTTTTAACGCATTGGCATTAAACAATTTGCGTTTCAAAGATATTAACAGCAAACAAATTTTATGATCAACTATAAAAGTCAATAAACAATTTATGTTGACGGAATATTGTGAATGAAAACTGAGAATTGCTATTATCATTGCATGCATTATTTCAATATGATTATCAGCGAATATTATCAAACTTGTGCGTGCAACATGTGTGCGCGCGTGCGTGTTTGCGCGTGTGTCCGCGCGTGCAAGTACACGCGTATATTTGAGAATGCTTTTTTATACGCGTTGATAACGTATTTCTTATCTGCACTAATAACGTTGTTAATATAACAATAATAAATTAATCTTATATCTCTCTCACATTCCTATGATCCTCTACATGCCCTCGTTTATTATAGCAGTTCAGATTTTCCACAGTGTACTATTGGAGCATGCGCAAGTATTATAATAGCTTGACTTAACTCGCGAAATGATCGTTGCTGACGTCTGGAATACACTTTTGCGGCACAAGTCACAGGCATAAATAATAAATAATGCAAACGTTCGTTGCGTAATAGTGTTAATATATAGACTTGGTCGTCAACAATGTTATCGAGAACTGAATACTGAATAGCTTTTATCCTTGTCATATACAGCCGAGTTGCTGCATCGGTTAGATAGTGCCAGTCGGGTCAGTGCAGCAGGCCTTAAAAGAAGTCTCTGAAAGTTCGGTCGCCCAGAAAGTTTCGCATCGTTGGTAGAGTAGGACCTGCCACTTGGATTACGACCAAAAGAACTTTGAAGAAAATATCATTCTTCAAGATCGAACGTGTTATAACAAAACATCCTATATCATGTCCAAAACTAAGGATATTACCAAGTTCTCGGCTGAACAATTGCAAGAGTTTTTGACGTCGTTCGACGTGGTGTTTTGCGACATCGACGGTGTGCAATACAATTCTATTTTCTACAATGTTTAATAAATTTGTGTATGTTTTATGTGCTCCAATTGTGAAAACATCGTAGAATAGATTTTTGTTAATTTATAATTCATTGTTTTTCAGAAAATTACTTGAAATTAGAAAACTAAAATTGTGCACACTTTAATGAATCTCTAACATTAGATAATTAGAAAAATTGATAATACATTTACATAAATGTCAGATATTTTATTAAAATATAGTATACAGAGTGTTTAAAAAAAGGGTTCAGGACTTTGAAGGCAGATAGTATTCATGAAACAAATGATAGAAATGAAACAAAAAAGGCCTCAATATGTAGATTAAAGTACAATACACAATTTGATATTCTACGTCTCCGTCGTATCATATGGAATGTAGTAAATACAAAGGCAGATATAATGTTTTACTATTTTCTCGGATTAGCGAAATTGTACATAAATAGCATTTCGTAAAATGTTGTAATTAACGATATGCGTTCTCCAGGAGTTCTATGGCAACAATTAAGTAAACCTATTGAGGGTGCTTCCGAGTCTTTAATGACATTGCAAAACATGGGGAAAAAAATTTATCTAATAACGAATAATACCACTGCAATAGCAGATAATTATTATAAGAGCGTTGAACATATCCGTTTGAATTTAAGTTCAGTAAGTATTTTAGTATTAAAATTAGAAGAGTAGTTTATTGTATTTTATTATATGAATTTAAATTAATCATATGTGTATATAGATACACTCTAAAATGCTGAAATAGTTTATAAAATATTGAAATCAGTACTATTAAAAACAGTCATTAGTTAGTTACATTATATAGGATCACATAATCGACACTATGAAAATAATGGTTTGGTACTTGAAAAAAATTGGTTTTCGTGATGAAGCTCACGCCATTGTTTCCAATCGTGCACGAAAAATGTTGACAGAAGCAGGAATACGATTAACAGAACAAGTGAGTAAACAAGTAAATTTCACATCTTATCTGTGAAACCTTTCAATAGAATGAGTTTAATTTGTCTGGAATATTTCATCCGTCAACTTTGACAATTTTCTCATGTTAATAAAATTTACGTGAAGCATATGGTAATAGATTAACTATTTATCTTACAGCCCAAAGTTTCCGAACTTGATACAACTTTAACCGCAAAGCAGGTTATAGATCGGCCATCTGTTAAAGCTGTTATTGTTGACTTTGATGTGCATTCCAATTGGTCAATGATGGCATTGGCTATATCGTGCCTCGCACGTAAGGATGTACTGTATATAACAGGGATAACAGATGATGGGTATCCGTTCTCCACCAAACCCCCAATTAAAATCTTAGGTAGGTATTAGTGTTGTTGGTAAACAATAGAAAACTTTTATATGTATAAATACTTATATTATTGCACATCATATTCCTTCTATCAAGAAATAATACTCTGTATATAAACAGAAAAGTAATTCCATTACATTATACCCATACAAAATTTTAATATATACATGAAATAACATAAAAATATACAAATCAGGGTATATTTTTATTTAAATATTTTTTTAGTTTGATAGAGAGAAAGAAAAGAAGAATATATGTATATCATGTTTTCTCATTATTAGGTCCTGGACCGTTAATAAATGTTATTACTTCGCAAAGCGGAAGACAGCCGATTCCATGTGGCAAACCTAGTCAGAACTTAAAAGATTATATTTTAGAAGAATGCAACGTGACCAATCTACAAAGATGTTTGTTCATCGGTGACACGTGAGTGAAAATTACGGCATAATACACTTCTGTTTATTACAAATTTTTATAATTATTTAATTTCATAATTCAATTAATTTTCCATAAAATTATTTTCGAATATTCACTGTAAAAGAATATTTTATTAATTCTGAAATGTGAACGTAGGATTAAACAGGACATGAAGTTTGCCTCGATGTGTGGATGTATAAAGCTGTTTGTTGAGACGGGATGCGATACGTTAGAAGAAGCACAAAAAGAAGATGATTCCTGCCCGGACTACTATCTTCCTAGCTTAGGTCAACTGTTTTCCGCTCATAATCATCCACAATGTGAGCGTAGCGCCAACCACAAAGTTAATAATTGAAGCTTTAATAGAAAATTAGTTATGAATCATTGACATTATTATTTTAATATTGTCGCTCAAATTGACGATGTCATTTACAAATATCAATTATACAGATAACGTCAAGAATCATTTGACGCCAGCAGATAAATAACCATGATTAAGCAGTTAATCGACCATGACTGGCGATGTGTTTTTAACACAAAAAATGTTTTTTTCTGTGAAAGCGCGCGCTTGTGTTGTCTAGTATTAGATAAATTTTCTGAATAAATTTTCTTTTTTCTGTAACAAATTTTCTGTGAATAATTTTTTATTAGAATAATTACATTGTGCCATTTAAAAGTGTATAATTATAGTATTCAAATATCGCTAGATTATATTAAATGCTATAACAAATATGTAAGATCTAAAAGTCTATGACCGAAGAATATAAAAAACGTGATCAACAATAACAATTATTTTTATTTTTCAATATAGTTACCCTATATTTCAATATACTTTTTTAGATTAATAAAATTTTCTCAATAATTTAAGTTTTCTACATAACTGTTTTAAAAAATATTTTGAATGTTTTCAAATGATTAAATTCTATGGAGATCACTTCTTCATCACTGGTAAATCATTTTCCACGCAATGCAAATTTCTCTTCTAAAATCCTAAAAAATAAAAATGCAAAATTGAAATTGTAGTAAAACCTGATGATTTAGTTCTTGAAAAACACAGTCGAAGCAGCCTTAGTAGCAACGGATACATGCAACGATGCATTGTCATGTATTTTAGAATATATTACAATGGAGCAAAAGGTCTCAGCTTCAATAATGTAGTGGGGATGCAGGTATTAAGTTTCACTAAAACATGGGCATGGTCGACGTGAGACCTGAACCCATATTCAACTTGTTCAGGTCAGAACATTCTACAGTTTTCCTTAGCTTTTTCAGCTGGAGAGAACGCGTGAACTAAATAAGCATGTTCGTTAAAACCAAGGATATTTTGCATAATTTGTAATTCTTAATATCGTAAATTTGCTACCACAGATAATAGAAGCTAAACAGCAAATAGACAAAGTAACGTTTGGAATTCAAACTTTACTACGTAAGTATAAGTTCTCGAAGACTAAAGGTCCCATTTCATTGACGCTACGATTTAGCGTCAAATATAGTCACGTGACTAAATTTACCGCTCGCCTAGGGAAGGAGAAGTAGTTGCAAAATATGAGCGTCGTGAAACCACCGCTGGCTGCGTTCAAAAACACCACCCGAGTACTCCAGAGTATCATTTTATCCTTGTTTAACATACGGTGAGCAACAAGGATAGAATAATACGCTGGAGTACTCGGGTGGTGTTTCTAAACGCAGTCCTTGCGACACCCAGTCACACCACGGCACACTGAAAAAGTTGAGACGGTCTCAACTTTTTCCCCCCTACGTCGAGAAGTCACTAGAACTCATTTGCCGCTGGTTTCTAGCGTCAATGAAATTGCACCTTAAAACGCAAGTAAAATCCTTCAAAAACACGAACTTGTAAATTCTAAAAATACATAAAAATCGACAGCTTTACGAACCCAGGTAGAAATTTTGTTTGGAAACAATCAGGGCCCCATATATTTTTTGTAAAATATTTCTGGGATCCAGGTGGAAAATCTAGCTAGGGTCTATGTAAAGTTTGGAACGCCTAAATCGAACAGGCCCTATCGCTGAATCCAGATCGGTCCAAGATTACGCCCGGAATTTGTTTAGAAAAATTATCTGGAATCTAGCTGGGGGGTCTATAATTTTCCTAGATATTTACTTAGTTTGTAGATACCATAATTATTTTTATGATCCAGTCTGGTCCAGGCTTCAATCTAAAAATTTTCCCTAAAATATTCCCTGGAATTCCACCCGAGCAGAAATTTTAGTAGGGTTCTGAAAGGGTCCTAATAAAGATACCTTAATGCCCTGACAGGGTCCTGACCATAAATGTAACGTCGAGGTTTATCCATGATCCAGACAACTTGCTCTCGCATCATATCGGCTCGCCTTTTATACTAATACGGGACGATTTTTACTTACGAGGAAGACTAACGCGCGGTCGCCACGTCGCGGCAGTATGTGGTACTATAGTGCTATCTATTCAGGGAATCAGGGAAAAATCTGTCAGTGGCAATCTAGGACCCATGTAGATTTTTCCGACTATTTTTCTCTCGGTAAAATCAAGGTAAATTTCTAGGGTGTATTCTGGACCTAAACGGATATTTTTAATTGGATTTTTCTATCCAGGCCCTGTACTTAATCTCGGCAAATTGAGGCAGATTTCTACCTGGGAAGTATCGATAATATTTACAATTTACACGAGTTTGTATCTACAAACCTTCAGAAATGTTTATTCGTACACAATTAGCTCCTCATGTAGTGCACATTCTAGCTATAAAAGAGCGAAAACATTAGGAAACATGTAAGCTAATAATAAGGACGTATAGGGTCGGCCGCCCGTAACCAAATCGAGCAACGTGATTGGTTAAGAAGTTACGGTTACGGAAATTTGTACGTGGCGGCCCATACCGGCGATCCTTGGCTTTTCCACAGTTTACCACAGCTCTTCTAACCGGATTGAGTGCGTGCACCAGACGAGCATTAAAATTTGTTAAAAACGAGGATATTTTGCACAATTTGTAATCCTTGATATCGTGAATTTACTATCACAGGTAATAGAAACTAAAAACTGAATAGACAAAGTGATTAAAATTAACGGCAAAATGACAAAGTTGAACAGTTTTGTTCTTTAAATTTTAGTTGCCAGCTCTGTATGTATGGGCCCATATAGTTTTAGTTTATTACATAAAAATAAAAGACGGTATTTGAAAACACTCGCATGCATGCATATACATTAGTCTTTATTCTTCTATTATCATAAATGATAATAGATGCATAAATAAGATAAAGGTCTCGTCCAACGTGTATGTGTTCAATTAGTTACATTTATATTAAAATTAGTTAAATTTTTTGTTTAACCCATTAAATTCTTAAAGGTTCCTACGCGCATTTGTGTTTTACATCATTGTAACTCGGTCCTTAATCAAAATTTTAGATCGTAATTGATACGTAAAAACACAAATACTCCTAGAACTAGTTAAGATATGGCTCTCTTGATATAAGTATATTACCTATGTGTATATCTGTCGTTTAGAAGTGTTCTCTCTATTACGGATACTCACATAAGTATCTTAATAAAAACTGTTTATAATAGATACAAACGTAATTAAATTCTTTATTTTAAATTAATTCAACATTTTCAGGTGAAATCTTCTGGATGATGTAATATATATTAACTGCAGATTGGGCTTGTTTAACCCACAATTAGTGCATAGATCAAAAACTTGCAAGCCAAACTAATTTAAAACAGTTTACAATGAAACTGTTATAGGTATGAGCAACACATAAATAAGTTTCTGCACAATAAAGATTTCACAATAATGATTTTTCGTAAATAATTATAATTCTAGGGATTGTGTTCGGCAGTCTTGCTTACTAGCTGTGCAGTTGTAACGTTTCTCATGCGAAAAAAGATTTTTTCCAAATTTCGCAAGGAGGAAAAATTGAAGGAAGAAAAGAGCGATTCGCAGAACTCCAATTCAGAACAAGATTGTCCCGAAATACCTGGATTGCCTAATCCAAACTGGGTTAAAGTCGGTCACGTCAAAAAGCTAAACATATGCCCAGTGGATACGGGTGAATCCTTACCCTGGCGTACATTACAATTTACACAAGGCGGAATATTTATGGAATACGATGGAATGATTTTTTGGGATAAGTAAGTATAGAATCGAATTTTGTTTTATTCTTATTATATTGTAGAAGGTATAAATTATGATTTAATATACCTTTTGCTGATAAGTCAGTACAAAGTATTGACTACATAATCTCTTTGATATTTAATTAATTTAAGCTACCTGTTAACTACTTTCACTGTTTATAATTTTCGTAAACCAATTAAACATATATGTATAAGTATAAAAGCAGAAATATATTTAGTAATTTTAATAACAAATTTATATATATTGAAGCATAATCATACGAAATCTGCTAAAAGATGAAAAATTTGTATCTTATACAACCGTTGAGAAAATCATGTTAAATTTTTATTACATGTAACTAGAATGTTCCGAGTATACGACAAAAAGGCAAAACGATTCTTAATCGGACAAGAGCTGGAGTCCATATTGATATTGAGAGCGATTGACCTACATGAGACTGGTGGCAAATTCGTCTTTCTTCCTAATACACCAATTTTAAACGTTTATATAGATAAAAAACCAGTAAAACTCGTAAAATGTTGGCAAAACTGGAACCAAATTGGATTTTAATAAAATCTATTGATTGCGGCGACGAAGCTGCTGAGTGGCTAAACACGTGTGTATCTAATAAGTTTTCATGTCTAATTCTCTCTTATATTATCCATAAACGAAATATTCAGTGAAATATTATATTCCGCAGGTGTCTCCGGAAGTCTAGTTTGCGTTTAATACGAGCAGAATATGAAATTACCGACAAATCAATACTAAATCGAAATGATGTGTTAATATTAGATGAAGAAGATGTTGAAAATTGGGTAATTAACATACTTTTACACAATTTTTCTTTCTTTTCAATGTCTATATAAAATCCGATTGTTAAATTTAAGTACCGATTGATTATCTTTGCAATTAGACACTTAATTATCTATGCAATATTTATTATATACTAAAATATAATGTAACTATAATTACACAGTAAAAATATACGTAATGCTGCTTCTGAAAGAATCTATCCAGCATTTATGTAGAAGTTCATATTATGCTACAATGTATCAATATTTTTCTCCATTATTAGGATTTTACGGCTTTAACGCATTGCGTAGTGGTAACACAAGAATCATTAGAAATGTTCTATTACTCAGATCCTTTAGCAGTAAAACTTCGACCACATATTTTAATTTCGAGTCCTGGATACCCTGCTTTTGCGGAGCAAACTTGGGAATGGATAAAGATCAGCAATGTAATCATGAGGAATTTCATGCCTGTCTTGAGGTGTG